CAGTGGTCTCTGTCTGCCTCTTTATTTTACTAGAGTGCCTTTTCCAGAGCAATATCCCTTAGATGCAGACACACAAGACATTTTTGTACTTTTATAGCACCCTTCACTGGAGAGAGAGCCTTCTGGTCGAGCCAGAAGAGAAGAAAGAGATAGCCTGATTTGCCTGGGGATACACAAAAGTCAGCAGCAGGGGAGGAAAAAAAATAAACTATCTCCTATCTCCTCGCAGCTTTTTTTGCCATAATGTCTATTTCCTTTGCTTATTCATCACACCTTTAAAAATATCAAAAAGATTCTGACCTTCTTTGAAAAATAGCTGCACACAAACATCTGTTGTAAAATGAGTTTTTCTTAGCAGATAAAAGGATAAATTAACTCATTATCTGTAGAATCTCAGTTTGATTCTCAAAAATGTTTGCTGCTAAGAGATGTTTTTGTGCCTAACTCTCACCATTCATGCAGCATTAAGAAGCTCCCTTCTTCCTCCTGAGACCACAGGAGGTTTCGCATTACGCTGTTAACCTTCAGATCATCTCCTCCATGAACAATTCGAGTTACATTTACATGCAGACATAATGTCATTCAGCCCACTTTATGCCACTTACATCTCTCTTGTTGCTATGGGGAACACTGATAAGGAACAAATTAGCAAATATTTGAGGAGGAATGTGAAAGCCACTACTTGGTGGATTTGTAATAGGCAGTGACATTTTGTTTGGCAGTTGTCTTTACCTAGCTGAGGTTCTTCCACTGCAGTTTCAGCTAAAATTCTGTGTAGTCAAAACATGCCCTTCCCACAGGATTTAGAGGCTTAGACATGTAACTATATCTGACCCTGGGGAATTTTTACAATTCTCCTGAGAAGAGGGATTGCTTTGAAAGTGCGTTTGCTGACATGGAAGTGCAAAGAGCACCATCCAGTGTCTAATCAGAGTAAATACACAAAAAATCGATGGCATTGGTACAAAGGCATCTCTGCACATCTCATAGTGAAGCTACACCTGGAAGGGCGCATGATGATCTAAATAAAAAGAGGCTACAGTCAGTTATAGAAGGAACTACTAAGGGAAGACTGCCAAAGTTGTCAACCTTTCAGGAAGACAGGAGACAACCTGGAAGATTACATCTTTTAAAGAAGAGCTGTATTCTGAAGTTATTGATGATTGAGGGAGCAAAAGACACAAGCAGGAGGAAGTGGAGATGGCAGTAGATGGGGCTGATCAAGAAAAGTATGCAAATCAAATCCATGAAGGGATGAAACTACAGCAGAAAGAGAAAATTGGGCCAGATTGTTATCCTGTAATTCTTCCCCTTTGTAGAGTGGAATCAGCAAAAAGAGGCTAGGAAGTTGCACTGGTGGCTGAGAAAATAAGGGAGAAGTTACTTTGGCTGCCACTGTCCAGTCTCAACAGCCTTGTATTGCTTAACAAATGTAGTTAGTCCTGATTTCAAGAGAGAAAATTATTTGGAAAAAGATTTTTCACAGAAGCATGCAATAAGTAGTAATCCTTCAATTTGGTGGGCTAGAGAGAAGGTACTAATAGGAGAATAAGGAGTCTGTGAGGCTAGAAATGGACACAGGCAAAAATTAGTATTATCTGCAGAGAAGTGATACCCAAATAGATGTCCAAGAAAAAGCAGGAAACTTTTCCATGGACTAGTAGTTATGCAACAATCTATGGAAAATCTAGGTAAGCAAGGAAATGGGAATGTTTGGTATATTATGATGAGGATATTTATTAATCAAAGATGCAGAGTGCTCCAGTTTAGCACAATGTTTGCAGTAACATATCAGGAATATATCCTCCCTAAAATCAGACTTTGGGCTGGCATAATTTAGAAATGCTGTAATCCAAGACAGCTCCTCTGCTGCGTTCAGCGTTCCCGGGAACAATTTAACATGTGTTTGCTCTTACTCTTTTTATATTGAACTTGCAGAGCAGAACTTGCTTCTTTGATTAATATTAAGCAGTGTTTTGTTTGTGCCCTGTGGCAGAAGTGCCCAGATGGAGTGGTTTGAATACTGAAAACATTAAATATGTTCTATGGAGCTCTGTTAAAGTTGTCTGAACAGAACATCTGGTATCAAATCTTTGGATAAATCAGCTTCTGCAAGTATTTGGACCTGCTCTGGGTCTGTGCATTGTTCCAGCTTTACATTCTCTCTCTTGCTTCCCTGTTTCTAGAGCCAATAGATGATGGTTTATTGCCTGGTGTAACCCATTAAAATCCCTTTGTTGGGGCTTGGCAATTAGTTGAGCAGAAAGAGTAAAAAAATCACTTTGGCATCTGTGGGGTTGAAATTGCAACACAGAGTGAAGATCTCCCTGAAAGGCTTTTTATCTATCCTCAAGGTGATGGAGAAAGAAGGATTGATCATCCAGAGGCTTAGGGAAGGTATCGTCTGATGTCCTTGCAGAGTGTAACCCCACTGGAGCGTTTCTGTCTGTATAAAACGCCTCTGTCCCACATAGGGACCTAGTGTGCATACATCCATGCAAGACCTCCCTGCCAGGCGAAGTGAATGGTGTCCCACTGCTTAGCACTGACAGATCCCACTGCCAGTCCTGCTTTGTGTGCAAGAAAAACTCCTGCAGAGTTGAAGAGTGAGAAGGGGAAATGAGAGCTGTTGTCATGTTGTGTGACTGATGCCATACAACAGATGGAAGTGCCCATACTTAAAGAGATCCACAGCCCCAGTCTTACAAAACACGTACCACTGCTGGGCATGGTGAGGAGGGGCAGGCTTACATGTTTTTCACTTCAATAACTGGGACAGCAGAGACAAATCAGGGGCATACAGACCAACTAAATTAGAGGTGTTTGAGATTAACTCCTTTCACTTTAGGAAGTGTTTCAGCTAAGAAAATCTGAGCACACAGAGCTCCCATTACCCTTCCTGGGACCTCGGACACTTGGCTCCACTCCTGAGCAGATTTTCAGATGTTTTCAGGTGGGTGTTTGTCACCCAAATTTACCTGTGCACAGGCTCACTCCTGGAGCTATGACCAAAGAGAACGAAAGAGAATCAAATGGAAATTCCTAAGTTGCGTTCAGAATATTGTGAAGCAACTGTTCCATCTGTAGTAACCAAGAAAAATGTCTCACAATGTAACATTTTATGCTATTGAGAAAATGTTACTTTGAGTTATATTCCTTTAAGATGTCTTGCTATGTTTAAAGGACTGCTTTTCTTCTGCCTTGTTTTCATGCTTGATACATCAAGCAAACTTCAGTGGAGTTATTCTTGCCTCACACCAATGGTAACAAGAAAGAGAAGCAAGTTATTCATGTTTAATGTTATTTTGTGCCAGATGTTTTGCTGGTAAAAATCCATAGCTCCACAGGCACCAATTTCTTCAGGATCTGGACTGTCTGGCCCAATTTCTTTCTCCATTCTGGACAGTCTGTGAAGGAAACTGCTTTATTTTGCAATATTGAATATTCATGCTGGGAAGTTATAAGCAAAAACAAAATAATGAGAGACAGGGTCTCTAATAAGCTTCCTGTCACATGAGGCTCTGGTTCTGTTGAAGCAGATGTGGTTGCTGACTTGTTTCCAAAATGTTTGTTGAGTGGTGATTAGATTGTGTCATACTGATGTTATCTCTCTGTGATCTCATTCAATACAAGTAGTTCTGCAAACAGTGAAATCTTTTTTCCTATTAATTTATACCTTGGCTTGTGTTTCAGCATGGATTCTCTGATGTTTAATGAGGATTGAGTTCATTTTAGCCTGTTTCTTCAATAAGAGATGAATAATCTGTCTTCTTTACTTGGCCATCTACTTTCACAAAATTTGCAGGAATTAAATATCTCAAGGTTGTCAAATTTGAGTGCGAATTATAAACCAGTTCCAAAGTTATTTGGGGCCAACTTGTGTAAACAAACATGAACATAAGTCTCATTTTCTTACAAAAGCAAAAAGAATCATTTTTTTAATGTTTTGCCCTTGTCTATTACCTGCTTGATTCTATTCTGTTTTGTTTGTGATCAATCATATAAGATATGCTTTATTTGTAAAACTGTATGAAATATGGGATTTTTTTTTGCCACATTAAATACATATTAAAACATCATTAATTTATACTTGTTATGGGCCACACAAGAGATTAAATTATTTTTTTAGTGTCCTTGCTGGAGCATGGGAAAGAGGTGACATGTATTTTAACTTACGTGTTGGCACAGGCAAGTGCAGAGAAAGAACAGATTGTTTTTCCTTTAGAATTAGACCTCACCAGTTTGAAAATGAAGAAAGGAAACCTGGTATTGAAAATGACCTTTTGAGTTGCTGAGTCCAGTGTTCTGCTTCTGCAGTGAGCCAAGTTCCCAATCTTTTTCATAAACAGATTGTGCTATTCAAAAATATGCTCTTTCCTCCTTGCCATCTCTCCTATCCTCCCAGTTTCCTACTTTATTTGGATGTTTGCTCCAGAATTTCCTTCTTTTGGTAGGAAGAAACCTTCTCATTTCCATGGCCAGTTTATGCATGTTCCAGGACTGTCCCTTAGGTTGCTTAGTTCTTTTCTACACCACCTAACTAAACTGAAACTGCACATTCTCTGCTGTGCCAAGTCCAGTAAAGGAGGCAGGAGATAATCTTCATAGCCAGCCCTTACTTCCCTCATACTTTAGCTGCTTAGAGCAAATTCTTCATGTGCTCCTCATGATATGTCACATTAAGCAAATAGAAAGTTCCTGTGGATCATAAATTACTTGAGGAACTAGTCAAGTGAGAAGGGTGGTAGGAAGGTTGGCAGCAGACCTCAGTTCACTGAGTATAGGAGGATGAACTGTTGCACAGCCTGAGAGGGGGTCATATGAAAATTAAGGATACCAGGAAAAAAAGTGAGGAAATCATAGCCATTTTAACTCGTTTGTACTAAATAAGAGGCCTGAAGTCTTTCCCTGTTCCTTCCATGTTGATCTTTCAAATGTTGATTATATCCAGTCAAGGCTTCATGTGGTTTGACAGGGGTTTCTTGGGTCCTGACCTGGGAGACTAAGCTTCCTTGAGTTTCATGTGAAGGGTCAGGATTCTGTACCTTCAGCAAAGCTAATTTTTGTTTCACATCCTTCTCAGTGACATTAAAAGTCTATCTTGATTTTATTCATTTTACTCCTGATTAACCTTATCATCATCTCTCTGATAAATAATGCCACTCACTGTTAAAACTCTCAGCTTATTTTTCACATTGGAAATGTAACTTTTGCTTCCTCTAGATTAAGAAATGGTTATATGGCTATTACAAAATGTCAGAATTATTTAAGAAAAACACTTTAAAAAAATCACTGTTGCTTCTTTCAAACCTCCTTGATACATTTAAAGTTACAAAGAGTAAAGAAAAATGACCCTATCCAATTTTCTGCTTACATCTTGAGAACAGTCCTGTAAGTAAGACAACTCTGGAAGTCTCTCTCACTGACTTTTTAATCTTCTGCAAGGTTAGTTTAGTTTGCTTAATGTAAATGAACAATTAATTTAAAAATTAAAAGCATGAAGGGGGGAGGAAATAATTCAAGAGGTAGAAGAAGTAGGTGAGACAAGAAGGTAAGAAGTAGATTGGACAAAATTTGGTGTGTTCAGCTTCATTTCTGCCAGTGTAAAAGCTGGCACCTGTTTATGGTTAAAGGGGAGCTATCGTGGAAACAGATCAAGAGCTAGAGATCAGGGCTCACTCATCTTCTGTTGCAAAGTAGCCAGATTTCTTCGTTATGTTTGATAACGGCAGATTAAGACCTTGAGTCCGAGTGGGATCTGTGAAAGGTCCCAAGAAAGATGGCAATGGAAATTTTAAACCCAGATTTTGGGACTGGTTGTTCTTGCTGTGGAGCTTTCCCTTTAGGAGACCTTGTCAGCTGGAACCAGTGTCTGTTTTGTGAAGCGACCCACATGTCAGTGCTCAGCAGCCATGCTTGGATGCTGGGTGCAGAGGCCTGCTTCAGCTTCTTTAGATGTGAATGATTTCTGAACAATGCTCATCCTGGTCCCCAAGAAAACATATCAGCAGCCAAAGATAACTGGAGTGGAATCCGGCTAAACTCATCATCTTTCACATTGGTCCCCTTCCTCCTCGGGGCCTCACCCTGACCCAGGGGTCTGCAGGGGTGTGGGTGGCAGGCAGCCATCACCCAGAAATCTCCCCTGTGCCTGGCAGATTAAGACTGGGAGGGATCTTTCCTGTTCTCTGGCCCCTTTCAGGACTGACAAAAAGAAGCCAGACACAGCCCGGAACTTATGCCAGAACCTTACAAGTCTTTGTTAACTGGCAGGATGATGGATATTGGCCAGTGCTGTCCCGGTGTAAAAGAAAAAGGAAATCAGATGGAGTCTCAAGAGTGTAACAGGAACTGTAGATGGTTGGGGATGAATGTCCCGACTTCCTTTTTTTTTTTTTTAATATTAAATTTTAACAAACGATATAACAAAAAGCAATCCACAGCCACATAGCTTATGTTTCTGTCACCAGAACAGAAGCACACACACATTCCTGCTCACCACACAAGTGCTGTTAGTGATCTCTTTGTCATGTTATTCCATGCTTGACTTTGTTACAATATACTGTCTACCTGTATGTCAGATGGTTTATCTCACCTGTCCCTCTTAAGCCACTGGCCATTTTCAATCACATCTGATAGAATAAGTCTCAAAGTTATGAAATTCCTAAAAAAAAATCATTACTATAGGTAGCCATGTCTATAGAGAATAAGAGAGGAAGAGCCTTCTAAAAGGATAGAAAATCTACACTTGGGTAAATCCTTAAGACATAAGTCAGTTGGAAACTGGGCTTCAATAGCACTTAGCATAAAATATTTGTTTATCTAATACTACTAGGTGTTTCTGGGACTGGCATACGAATTATTTAGTAATGGAAACTGCATGTGTATCTCTGGCTTCTGTGGGTTCATGGTATAGAAAACTGCAGGAGTGTCCATAGGGGTCACAACTGCCCAACTTTGTCATAGACCCTGTGTCTTAACAGGACACAGAAATTACCATTTAGCTAAGTAGAGAAGAGAGCACGGAGTGGCATGTTTTAGCTTTTATTGCTGATGCTTTGTAAAATAACCTTTAAGGTCTGTAGACTCAGACCTGTGCAGGTCTGTGTGACCTAAGAGTTACTACACCACTACCATATTGGTACATCTCTAGTTCCTGGATATGAAATAAATGAAAGGTCCCAAAAATTCAGCTTTATGTTAATAGATCCAGATATACCCAATATTTAACTTCCCTGAACAAAGGAACCCATGAAGTGCTGGCTTGTCCTGATATGTTGTGAAGGTGTCAGCACTGTGTGCTGCAAAGCTTCATGCAACCTTAGGGAAAAAAAAGAAAAAAAAGCCAAGTGTATGCTCAATGGAAAACAGATGGAGTTTTCATTAGATATTACTTTTAATGATCTGCTTTAAAAATAAAGATACACCATTCTGGGCAGAAGAAGGCCTTCTAATAGCTTTGTTTATGTCCCAGGCTTATTATCTTAGCTACAGATAAACAGGATTGCAAGATCTTTATATCATTAGGAGTTCCAGCCAGACTTGCCTACCAGTATTAGAATTCCAAACACAGCAAAACTATTTTGGGTCCTTAACAATATTTTTCCCTAAGATGGATCTTTATTTAATGATTCAGAGTTATTATTATGGGCCTGGCAGTTGGTTGCTCAGTTCTGGAAAATTACCATTTCACCTAGTTCAGAATAGAAATCCTGGAATATTCATTGCAGGGCAGAGCTTTTGCTTCTTTGAGGGCCTGGTCTTCACAGTCAACCTTGGTGTGACTCCTCCAAGCAATCTTACTGGCTGTGGAGTCTGGAAAGCCTGAAGATCCTTCCTAAAAAGATGAACCCTGCCATGTGTTCCTGTAGGTATTAAATCAACTTTTGACAAGTAAAGAACAATGCAGTCCCAGGGTTTTAGGAATAGATGGTTGCTGCCAAACCACAATAAATGCTTTTGTCTGGAACTCATGGAACAGTAACATAGCAATGGAGGGTGTACCCTTGTCTGTTATTCCCTCTGAGCAAATTCTCAGAGACATGTAACTGGGATTCAGATAGATTTCATGGAACTAGTAGAGAAATAGGCTTTCATTTCCTTACAAAGGGAAGAAGAGACAATGGAACTTAGCAAAACATATGGCTTTTTTTTTTGTTCCTGTCTGAGAGTTATGCAAGCAAAACCCAGTGCCCATCCTCAGACAGTACTTTCTAAAGTGAGACTCACGTGAGAATATTTTTTTTTACCTTTCTTCTATTATGAGTTGACAAAAGTGCTTTACTTCCTCTGCATATGTATAAATACAACCTATGGCTTCAACTGATCTCCAGCTGGAGGCTATGAATCAGAATCCAAGCTTCTCAAAGTTCAAGGACGTTTAGAGCTGATGTTCTGGTTCATGGTGTAGAAAATGCCTACATAAATAAAAATACCTGCATGAATAAAAAAGAAATAAGCCTCTTGTTTTCATAAGAGAGGGACTAGAAGAATCCAGTCCAGTGACACTCTACCACAAACTATTAAGCATCATTGTGAAACCAGGTAGGTTTTTCCCACTCTGTCTGTTAGAAACCTTCTCCAATTTCCCACCTAGAGTTATTAGTGACTAGTTTGTTCACATACATTATTGTGTCGAACCTGTCTTTTAGTTTAGATTATACACAAATAGAATGTGAGCCTGAATATTAGGTGTCTCCTTTCCTTTCCTTCAGAGAAAAAGATCCTAAATATAAGATCACCTTGTATTCAAGGTCAAATTATTTCCTTCTACAATTTAAGGGTGGGGAGATGGGGCAAGAATAAGCAAAAGGAGCAGATGACAACTGCTTTCTATTTAGGTTTGTGTAACTTAACCAGAATGGTCCAGCCTTTGAAGAACAGCATCCCTGCTCTAATGATTGCTCCTGTTATGTTGAAGTAAATAGAGTCAGTTTTCTTTCTTTGTGATCTATTTTCAGAAATTAATCATGTGCCTTCTCTCCCTATGTTGCTAGAATGAAAAAAACCAAACACTTCTGATACAACTGTTTCTTTCTTCTTCAGCCATTCAGGTGGCCTTTTTCTGATTCAGTGCAGCTTTCTGAGCATGGGTGACCAAACCTGTACACCATTTGCACAAATTCAGTTCCATCAGATTGGTGATTACAGCCAGATGGAAGAGGTAAGAGGACTGATATTCCGAGGATGAATTCTCAGCAAATTCTAAGAAGGTGCCTTTACGAGGTATCTAGTTATATAAACCTCAGTCACTCAAGGGGGAATCTTGTCCTAAGTAACGTAAGGTACAAAAATACACACCTGAACTGACAAGGGGCCTGCTTCATACATGAGAATTAACTCCCTGAACTGCTTGTTGTAACATATGGTAGGTTCTGTTCACAAGTGTGATAGTGTGTGTGTGTGTGCATGAAGAGCGCTGACTAAAGCCGTGTGAGGTACTGTTAGAGTGTTCCTAGCATCTCAGGAAAGGCAACTTCTCAAGAAGGTAAACATGTTTTGGGGAATCTTTGCTGCACCACTGAAGTATTCCACCAGTGAAGACTTCTGGAGAAGTGGTAAGAAGAAATACTCACAGGTGACCTCCAGAGCAAGGTACTCCTGTTGAGTCTTTTAAGATCTGATTTTAAGAGGTCCTGGATACCTTCTAGAAGATGCTTCCTTAAGTATCTGCACATCAGCATCCTATATATTTTAAACCGAGCATGCAAAAACACAGCACGGATGGGCACTCTTAAATGTGGTGGCCTACGTGACTTCCTTGTAGTCACTTGGCAGTGCAATAATAGAAATAGGAACATAGGATTTCTTATGTCTATTGTGTCCATTGGAACAATACTGCTAAGAGCAACTGAGACCAAAGGCCTGGCCTTCAAAATATATGACTTGAAAGGAAAGCTGCATTTTTTTGGTAAGGTCCAAATGTATTTCATTCAGCTTTGCTGCTACTCCCCAAGTTTGGTTATAAACAAGTATGATTTCTACCCTGGAAGCCACACATCTGGATTGCAGTGCCTGTAACTGTTTTCATCATCACAAGTAGTTATTGGCATTGTTATGTTCTGCATGTGCACAAAACAGCTTGTACGAGGCAACCTGAGCAAACCCTGTTTTACAATTGAAGAGTTTCAATGTCTTAAATCACCAGTCTGCAAGGTAGCCACAGCCATTAATTCTCTATGTAAGACTCTGAAGTCTTAGAATTCCACATTGGTAACCCTAAAGAGTTCTGATTCTGACTACTCCCTGTCAGATTTCCATGCTGACTCTTTGTCTGGTTGGGTCAACTGTCCAAAGCAATGATGTACCAACTACTTCTGTGGGAGACAAGTGTGAACTTGGGTAGAGCTCACCTATAGCTGTAAAGCTTTTCGTAGCTATACAACAAAAATAACTTCTGTACATCATAAATACAGTGATGTAGGCTGTCAGGATTATCAATACTCAATTCTAAGTGTCAAAATAATGTTGCACCTGGATGACTTCTGTGTAAGTAACAGACTGTTTTCCCGCTGCACAGTTGGCATTCCCTGGAGTCTTTGGATTCTGCACCAGGGAGGCTGAATGTATTTGAATTCATATTTAAAATGTTCCAGGCCCCTGATTCCAGCCTCAGTTCCCCAAACAATGACAGTGCAGGTGATCACAGAAAGGTCACTTGGAACAAATAAACACTTAATTCCAGTCTGGATAAGGAACTGCAGAAATGGACAGGGAACTTGGAGACCTCCAATCTTTGCACAGTTCATACAAAGCAGGGGTCTGGGAGTACATGGCTGCTGACAGAATGAGAAGGGGACATGAACTGCTCACTCCGAGGGACTAAGGACATCTAGAGAAGGTGACTTTTCTTTGGAGGAATTGATAGACTTCACTGGTTCTCTGCCTTCCCTTCCACTTCTCAGAAAGGTCACCCCAAAAGCCTTGCCAAACTTCCAGGCATGGTGGTAAGTGTGGAAGAGTAAAATAAGAGTGCTTTTGCTGCAAATTTGCTGTTATCTTCCTCTCCTAAATTGTTTCTATTCCTGGTTAAACCTGTGGCTTGCCAAATGACTTCTGTGTAACTTGTAGCTGATTACCTCGTGTTCCCCATTTCCTTTACACTTGTCTGGGCAATTCTTTGCTCGCACAAGCAGAAGTATGGACAGAGCCATGGAACAGTCACCTACTGACCACACCGCTTCAAGCAAATAGGACTGTGCACCCCCAGCCTGAGTAACGCCGTGATGTGGTGTCTGAAGCTTTGCAGACTTACTGACCCATGGGAAAGGCAGGCTGCAAAGGGCAGAGACAGAGATATGCCTTCAGCTGGCATTCTCCTACCCCTCTTCTAACTGGGTGTCTCTGTTGACCTGTTTCATAAATCATTAATAAATAGTACTTCTGAATAAATACTTTCTCTGTATCTTCTCCAACACTAAGGATTAATTTTGCATGGGTCTGTGCATTTACTCTGTTCTTCAGCAGTCACAGAAATTAATCTCTTGGCCAGATTTTATGAATGATGTTCCACATTTATTACGTATTATGACCTTTCTGGATAACATAAAGCCAAGTCTAGGGATCTGTCTTTGGTTCTAACAGTATTTTTCTCCTCTAATGAACAATGTGTTGCAGTATATAGATACCTGTGATTTACATCCTTCATCTGAGTTTCAAGTAAGATCATGTGTAACATTTTACATGAAGCAAGGTGGTGAATAGGAGAGTTCACTGACTTTTCAACCCTGGAATCACCCAAACACTGGTTTACATTCCAAATAAAATATTTGGTAGGTTTCAGACCAGTCTTTACCAGTGTATATCACAGTGTTGCTGTTGGGAAAAACTGAATTTATTAAGGCAGTATATTTTAAAAATTGGCTCCAGCACCACAGAGCTGGCAACAAGGAAAAAATAATCTAAGGCAGCATGTAAAAAACTTGTTCTCTAGTTAGACTGTGAATTTTCCAATAACTGCCTCCAATAGACCACCCTATGACACTGATTGCAAACATATAAAGGCTGATTGTTTCAAAAGTCATATAAATAAAATGTAGATGTTGAAATGCCAACCTCCCACTACTTGCCTCCAACCTTTTCTTTTAATCTTTTACTGCTTATTTTGCTTTTTTCTTTCCTGGTGTCCTTCCTCTCACTGATGTTTTCTTTCAGTACCACCCCCTCTTTTCCTCTCAGAACCGAGTGGAGCTTTTAGCTTTAATGGCAGAATAGGAGCCAGCAGACAATGAGAAGAAGCTAGGCCAGCACACCAAGCACCCAAGAAAAAAAAAGGCAGGTTATTTGTGTGTGCACACAACTTCACACACCACACGCCTGGTGCCAACCTGAGCAAACCAGCATATCACTGGAACAGCAACTCTCTAAAGTATGAACCTAGCTCAGTATGTTTTGTTGTGTTATTTCTAGCCATTTGTTTTACAACTTGGAACTATTCTGAGGTCTTCTTTTAATCTTTCACCTCATACACCTTTGTTTTAAATCAACGGGGCCTAATAATCAAAGACAAAAATAGATGGGGAAGTACAAAATAGAACTGAGATGAAGAGGCTTTCAGACTCTAGCAATGTGTTGATTTTGAGCATGATGATGTAGACGTGCTTCAAGCAGTATAGGAAAATAACTGAAAGATCTTCTACCTGAAAACAAGTAACTTATTTTGTGCTGCTATAGTCAGTCATTGTTATGCCACTAGAATGAATCTCCTTAAAGGGGACTGACAAAAGAAAAGGAGTACTAATTTCTTGCCATGAGACCTGCGGGCATTTTGAGGAGGCCAGGACAAGACCTGAGCTACTGCTCACACCAGCCTGTGGCAGTGCACCACACCCCAGCTGCGCTCTGCTCTCACTGAAGCTCCCTAGACAAAACCCTGCAGAAAGCCCTGATCACACACTGAAGGCCACGAGAAAAGATATGTGAACAACCGAGTGGATTTCTGAGGCATCTCTTCTTGTTATCTTGGAAAACAGGAGTATTTGCACAAGGACAGACTACTCATTACTCAGGATATAACAAACTATGAAAGTAGGAATAATAGTAGACCAATTAACCTAGAGGACTGAAAAACCCAAGAGGCTCTCACTCCTATTGTCTTGAACTAAAATACACCAAGTATCTCCTGTTTTATAACATACTAAGGGACGTTTCCTAAAAGACAATGTTGATGTGAGGACAAGGCTGTTTTTAACAATATACTTGTAAACCAGCTGCAGCTCTAATATAGCTATATGGCATGAAACAAAATCTGTAAAATTTAGTGCAGTGGGTCAGACATATCTGACAACCACTGATCTCAGACTTCACATGAATTGTAGTACAAGGTGAAATGGGATGCTTCTCAAGGGTTTCTGCAGTTTCAGCTCCCAGTCCCTCTACCCTTTAAACTATCTTCTGGAGAAAAAAAAAAAAAGTGTGTCAGTATAGATACATGCTTCTGGTTTTCATTTGCAATTTCTGTGGCTATTTGGGCTGGTGACAAGTTTTTGTAAATGTCTCGTTGGAGCTAATTAGTGTAAAACGTACTACAAATTTATCACTGTTTTCCTTACTAAAAATTAGGCAAGTTGATAAGAGTTTCACAAAACCATAATTAACCTTCCCTTTGAGAATAAAAAGGACACATTTAAAAAATGTTTTTACTGCTTTAATACTGCATGTTATAAAAAAAGTCTTCCACAGCAAAACACACTAAGAACAGGGATGAGTGCAAACCAAACAAATCAGAAAGTAAATTATCTATGAAACCACTTATTGCAATGCAACAGGGAATAGTAATACAAGTTTAGAAACAGCTTTTCCTCCTTGGGAGAATGCAGAACTTTTCTCCTCTATTGAGGCTCACAACATAGATCAAAGTATTGCACTACACTGGGATTTTAATTCTCCTGCTCCCAGAGAGACCTAAACATTGTCCCCAACAACATATTTAGTTGGAATAGAAGAAGAACCTAGTCCTGAGAAAGACTGCAACCTGTCTGTCTTGCCAAGGCAATAGCTATGCAATGTGCTCTCTTCAGATGCTGGACAGAAAGATATGAACTTGGAACATAAAAAGTGGATTCCACACCACAGCTGCTTCTCAGATCTTTATTCCAATCAGTCTGTACTGACTTCCAAAAGCATAACTTCTCCAGAAACACAACTAACATGAGCACTTTACTCAGATGCTTCAACAGAACTCCACAAATCTTAAGTTCTGTCAGGCTTTCTTCTCTTAGCACCTCTACCAAAAGAGATTCTGAAGTGAAGAGATAACCCATACCTTTATCTTTTGGTCCACACTAACATACTAAACAATACCTTTCTGTACTTCTGAGGTGAAATGAAACCAAAGTGCAGCTAAAGTTACCCAAATTCCTGGATGTGTAGCCATCTCTTTGGCACCACAGTTCATCTGATGTCAGCACTTGTTTATAGTCTGAAGTGTTTATAGGCTGGAAAATTCTCATTGTGAGGGCCTGTTCACAAGCTAGTAGAGCTTACAAAGTGAAAACAATCATTTTTCTTCCCTGTTCCATATTTCTTTTAATGTTATGAGATAATTGACATTTCTTCTCTCTCTCTGCTCTCATTTATTAAGGTGATGATGCTTCTGAAGTATTTCATAAATTCCATCCGAACATCTTCAGGATCTTCTTCTAAGTTGGAATGTATCAGTTTTAGTTTGTTCAATGGGTAAGCTTTGAAGATAAATAAAAAATAGTTAGGTATTTTCCTTTTATAAGAAGAAATATTCACAATCAAGGTCATGGGGCAGCTCATGCTGAAGTAAGTCAGAATTCGGTAGCATCCGATGTTTGATACCCCAGATAACATGTAACACATGAAAAAGGAATGCATCATAGCTTGTTAGCATTACAAACAAGTACAGTTTGTTGCTAGATTAAACTCTTCAAACATTATTATTAAAGCTTAAAGTACCGTTTTTGGTCTCTCAAGCAGAATCAGATAATTCAGAACTGAACTGCAGTTTTACTATTGAATTGATATGAATTCAGAATGATGGAACAATATAATTATATTAAATATTTATTAATATATTAATACTTCTAATAAATATGTGTTTGTCTGAATACTGGAACAGGTTGCCCAGAGGGAGCGTGTGTTCTCATTTGTATAAACAGCCACAAATAATTTTGCAGTATATAAGGTACCTATTACTAATTTTAAGAGGAAGATTGTTAGCCTTTTATTTCAAATGGCTCCTATTCTTTTGATTGATGACAAGCAAGCTTAAATGGCCTCAAAAGCATCAGTTAAAAACAGATAAAATTCAACATAAGATACAAACTACTAGTGATGACAAAATATGGCAGGAGTTCTAATTCCTGGCTCAGCTGCACACTCACTGCCTTAATCATTCAAACTTTTCTTTCCTTTACTGTCCCTTTTGTGAAATAGTAATATTCCTCACTTTCTAGATGACCTTTGAAATTCATTATTTCTGATTTTGCAAAGCATTGTAATTGCTTTGGCAAATTTCAACAAAAAATGCAAGCTGTGAACAATTTTACAGGTATGTAGATCGATAAAAGCCTCTGAGTTACAGATTGAGTTTTCCATCTTCTTACCCAAGGACAGATTTTCTGTGTCCCCTGCGCTACCCGGCTTGTGATGTGCAACCAGGAGACACTGACTATCAAGCAGTGGCTGCTGCTGCACGAAACAGGAGTACCACATTTCAATTTCTTTCAGGTGACTGGGCAGCTCAGGATTGAAGATTATCATTACGCCATGAGAGTCCTTCATCAGAGCTGGCCAGCATGTTTCAAACCTTGAAAAACAGAAGCATGGAAAATGGTAAGATTGATAGTTGGAAAACAGAAACATGCATGCCAACTTCCTCAAGTTTTCTTCTCCCCTCCTCAAGAACACATTTCAGTATTTTTTCTTTATTATAGCATTAGTAATCTTGCCAGTGATCTATCATATTCCAAATATTTTGACTTTCTTATTATGTAGTTGCTCCCCTTAGTTGCTGACAATGTAGTTTTTGGTCAAATGCTTATTTAAACTTTTTCCCTAAAAACGGATCTGTCCAGTTCTTAGTTGTGTCTTTTAGAAATTAAGGCCTCAATCATACATATATATACATTGTTTGGAGTCCACTCACATAATAACTTCAAAGAGATAAAGGCAATTATAGAGTGGGCCTCTGTCTCCTGTACCTGTAACTGCATTCTAAGAGCTATGGGTTTTGCTGTTATACTCAATCTTTACCCAAAACAAAGTTCAGTGTCAGCTGGTATCATGGCAGCGAGTACCTAGTATCAGATGCTTCATAGCAGAAAGCTGTAAAAAAATGTAACAGGTTAAAGAGCTGGGAATATTCCTCATCTCAAAAAGATCATTGGTTTTAGGCCTTAAGTATGAATATTTTGTGTAAACAGAACTATTATGAATTAAGTAACCTGGAAGAAGTAGCAACAATGCTGGCTTACTTTTGATCGCCACTGCAATCCCACAATTCAATGCGACAGCCAGCTCCCTTACTGTTACCGTTCAGGTTTGGCTTCTCATACTCCAGGATCCTGCGAAAACGAGTGGATACACAATGGGATATCGGGACGTTCTGAGGGACAGGCAGTTGTCGGGGTTGGTTCGGTCAGCACACCACAGGCCTTTGCTCACCTTACACCCTGCGTTGGGCTGTAGCTGCCGATCCCTTCCACGCTCTCCGAAACAAAGTTTGCCAACACCGATTTTCCAGACTGGCAGAAAGCGGGAGCGAAAGACACCCGTTGGAATTTAATGTGCCAAGGCCACATTAAACGGGGTCCCTGCTCGCCCTCCGGCCAAGGCCCCTGTGCACGCAGGCCGGCCCCCCGCCTCCCTCCCGCCTCCGCAGCCGCACCCCCTGCACGGCGAGGCCTCAGGCAGGCCGCGGGGACTGACTG